TTTGGTGGATCAAGAGCTTTCCTATGTGAGATAGAGAAAACAAACAACAGAAAGAGGAGATTGAGAGGGAGAGAGACATGAAGGAGTAGACTGGTGCAGAGGAGACAGGAGGGCGTCGCTGGCAGCAGGGAGGAGACCAGTGCTCCACGCAGCCTCGACCTCGTTTGCCAGCAACTGACAGAGGACGGAGTGCTTGATCTCCTACCGGTGCCCACACCCAAAACTTAATCATGGACATAATCAGGATGGAAAGTTGCAGTTTTAATAGCAGAGAAACTTACATTAAACCCCCAACCTTGAGAAAAATTGTGAATAAAAAATCTCTTCGGGTGCTTAATTCAACATATTTTAGTCTTTGGACCGCTCAAGAATTTATGTATTTGCCCTTTGCCTCTCGAGCTATCCCCATCTAGCTCCGCCACTGTAATTAGTTAATTAAAATGACTTAGTCAAAAAGGCATTCGGGTGTTGCATCCACCCAATGGGTTCTTTGTTATGTTGGCGGAAGAAATCCTTTCTTGTTGGCCCTTCAAAATAAAAATGTTTGGCAATGTTATCATTTTATATTTTAAGATGGTGCCCAACCTTGGCACAAACCACAAGAATACTTTTGTCCAACAAATTGTTATATACTCACATGGTCAGACAGCACAACATAAGTACACCAATGACTCAGAAAACAATTGTTCTTTTAAAAATGTATGGTAAGGCAAGATGGAATTTGGAAAGATATACAGAGGTACAGTATATACACAAATGCTTCCATCGTAGATCTCCATGCCCAATCCTTCTATAATATACAACTAAAAATAATATATTAAAAAAACAAGATAAAGTGCAAAAAAAAGAGGGAAATTCCCTTCTCCGATGCCACAAACAGGTCAAGGACTACCATATAGTGAGAAAGAAAAATTGATAGCATGAATAGAGTGATATCAGCTGACCAAAAATGATAGTTTTCAGACACCAATAGAAGATATGAACTCAAGGGGCCATGCACATGATATAAAGTGGTACTGAAGCTTAGGTGAAGCAAATTACCCAAGAGAAAATATGTATTGACTGTCGAAAGAGTGTGACCAGGTCAGACCACCATATAAAAGAGCCTGACCAGCAGCAGACTTCAGAGGGAAGTTGATTTTACCCCTAAATAACTTGTACTTCCATTTGACATGCTCTAAATGCACTAGTGAAATAATGTAGAACTCCTCTGCAACTCTGGGGATTTAGTAATTAACTGCAGATTGTACAAAGTGTCAAATATGCGATATAAGTAAAATGTAGAGCAATGGAAGTCAAGTTATACGCCTGAATAAAGCATAACCTACAAGAATCACAAGGGCTAAAAATTCAGAACGCGGAAAATCTACATATGCCAAGAAGGTCCCTGACCAATAACTATGTGTACTTCCATATTGCGCAAACAGGGGATAAAAATTGTTTGATCCGCAGTTAATCACCTAAGCATTGGGTTTACACACTGGTGCTACTTTTCTTTTTCGTCCCAAATGGAACCATCATGTCTTTAGTTTCGTAAACAGCAGTAGACATGCATGAGAATCCTAGTACTAATTAACAATTGATAAAAGATGTCGATCAAGCTTCAAAAACTTAGCGGCTGCATATTGAGTTCCATAATTGTTTTCCTTGAAACCACAATCCATAACACCTGCATATATCTCACCTGGAGTATTATGACATACCTGTCTTCATGCCTTTGAGAGTATATATCACCTGCAAAATAGGACATGTGCTACTTAGATTCTATTTTTGATCTGACAAGGCACTGAATTAAATAATTCCTTTGCCCATGAGTCTAGGTTTCTAACAATTTACTGAGAAGGGCAAAAAAAGTGCAGCTTTTGTAGGACATGCCAAAACAGAAAAGTATACATGTAACAGAAGTGGGAAGGACGAAACCAGGGTGATGGTATTTATATGGAGGTTATGGAGCTGAATTTCTCCCTCTGCGTCTGGTTATGGGATAACCAATATTCAGACATTTGAAAGATGGGCCTTTGTTCTGCCGTTTGTTGGGAAGATTTGCTCTTATGTAAGAAGGCAGTTAGATTAAAAATTGTGAACACAACTTGCCGCAGAGCTTAATCCATGTTTTGCCACAGAACAAAATACATAGCCTAGCATAGGTGTTCTAGAGTACATAACCTACCGGAAAAAAAATCTGGAGGCAAAGAAGAAAGGATCAGACATTAACGAAGAAAAGGGGCTAACCTCAGAATCCTGTTTTTTAAGTTGAAGTTCATCTCATGATTCATACTCATCATCCTGTGTCCCCTGCCTGGTTCACCACACTTATGATTACTGCAACTTCTTCCTTCTTCTCCCTGTCCGCTAATCTAGCAGGAAGTGGCGGTCGTGGTCTAGTAGGAAAACGTGGCCACGAACCCGCAAAAATAGGACGGTGGCCAGCCCGGATCACAGCAGCCGCGTCGGTGATCTGGTCGGGAGGAAGGCTGGCAGTCATGATGGAAGGTCCGGCGGAGCTTTCGTCCATGGCCATGGCGTCCTGCACGGGAACGAAGAGAGGGAGAGAGATCAGCGAGGAGAGGGAGAGAGAACGGAGGAGGAGGGCGTTGGTACGGCTGAACGGAGGTCGGCGACAGCTTGCAGGAGCGCAGGCGGCGACCGGAGGTGGGGTGGATGGGGGGAAGTGCACGGGTGGAGGGGAAGGAGCAGCGACACGAGGTTTTGCTGCTGATTCGTTCTTCCTTGTCACGTGGAATTATCCTGTAATTAGGGAGTTGCGGGCGACGCCGCGGGGATCTGTGGACGCGGAGCGCGCGGCGACGTTTGCCAGGCAGAACATTTGATCTCAGACGTTGATTGAGATGGCAGATTATTGATGTAATATGGTTGGTTGGATGTGTTTAACTTGATTTAATCAGAGGGTCTGGATTATCCCGTGTGCAGTTTGTTGTGTGGCTTTAGACAAAATAATATTTGCTCTTTTAATAGTAGTATAGATATAGATTCTGCTCGTCGTGCTTTCACCTTTTTTGTTTGGGCCGGGCTCGCTTTGGCATCCCCTAGGAGAGAGGCGTGGCTCTGGGTCAGCGGCACGAGTAGCGTGAAAGGAAGCGCGATGGTGCCCAACGGCGGCTCTCGGTCGGCGTCCGTCCCTGGCACTGGCAGGCATGCATGCGATGTATGCCAAGGCCACAGGTTGGCTGGCGTTGGAATTGCGCTACTCTACTCTTGCTGCGTACCAGCTCACACACACGCACACAATCGATAATGCTCGAGGTGGTTGGACGTCGTCCACGTACGGTTTCATCGGCCTTCTCCGATGACATGTCCGTTTGAATCCTCCGGGCTTCTCCGCAACACGCCTTGTACCGAGCTCGGTTTCTTTCCCCCCTCTTTGTCGGTTTAGCTGTTGTATCTGACGCTGTGGGGATAGATGTCGACTTGTCAAATACTCCCTCTGTCCCATAATGCAGTGGCAAATCTAGCATGAAAATGAAGGATAGGCTCAAACATCAAGTTCTAAGCCTAATTAGCAATTGCATTGTGATTCTTGCATGTAAAGCACATAAATATAATTGTTAAGTGGTATGGTTAGCTGAAATAATGTTTGTGGAGGGTAGGCTTAAGCCTGATAAAGCCCATCTAGTAGACTCGCCACTGCCATAATCTAAGACATTTTTAGATACTAGTACAATATGAGACCGAAGGGAGTAAGTACTAAATGGAGCAGCAATTGACATCCAACACCACCCACAAATGATGCAACTTGTTTCCATGATTTTTGGACAATAAACTACATAACATACGCGTGTTTCTATTGAATAATGACAATACTAACGCTCCCTCGCAAAGAAAAAAAACAATAATAACTGACTGCAACTGCAAGTCGGTACAAGGGTCAGCCGTGCGCTGTCTTCAGGCCATAATGCCAAGTGGAGAGATGTCATAGATTGCTAGTGCGGAATCATAGCAACTTGACAGGTAACATAAGCCTCTAGACATATTATTATCAAGCCAAGCCAAGTCCCCGCACGTATGATTCCTTCTGGTAAACAATCATCTGGAACACGCAATATAAAAGAGCACACAAAAAACATTTGACAGACCGTTTCTCCTCTGCCTACAAAGACGCGTACGGCAGAAAATGAAATGCATCACATAATACCAGAGTACGAGAGCAATTACAGCTAACGCTGCGCATCTCTTTCTTTCACTAAACGTTCATGCTGCTCCTCGAAGAAAAAAAGTGAATATTTCGGTATGTTGTTGTCGTTATGAAGAAAAACATTAATTTGTATTCCCTCTGTAACTTAAAATAAAACGTTTTTGTATACTGTCATGGACTCTAAAGACGTCTTATGAAAAGTTACAGAGAGAGTAGTCTACATCTATTCACAGACGACATGTCGCTTTTGAGAGATCATTATCATATCCGGAATCCATCAGCCGTTCTGCAAAATGACACCCAGAAAGCTGAAAGTAACCGATCATATATAATTAAAACCATCAACAGGTTTATTTTGAGATCAGGTCAAAACCCAAGAAATTCATGAGCTAATCTACCAGTTATAATCGTACAAAGGGGTCTACCACTTATAATTGTACAAAGGGGGGAAAACAAGAAACAGTATGCTGCTACATGCTAGAAACAGAAGAAAGGGGGTGCTGATTGTGGGGTTTCAAGCCTACAGTATAGCATGGGGAACAACAGCAAAAAGGAGGCAAGCTTTACACGTCGCTCTACTTCTCAACCTCATCTCATCTCAGGGAACAAAAACGCCTCAAAAATAAGCCAGCCGTGCATGAGCTTCCTAGTAGACCACTGGCACCTAAATTGTCAAGCATAAGATACATTAAAAATTGAAACAAAAGGGGAATTACCAGAGCATAAAAATGTATGTGCACATGACACACAAAATCCCTCGTAAGATTATCTTTACAGTGCTTGGAAAATATATAAGTAAATTGTGTATTACCTTTTAAACAAGGCCCACACAAGCTTAAGCATCCAGTCAAAATTTATCCTCGAAGTATGATCTCAGGGATTGAATCAGATCTTCCCGCAGTAACTCTGGAATTTTGGACCTAAATACTCTTCCAGAATCACTTATTAGCTGCTTCCTGCATTACAGGAGAAAGCATATATAAACAATATTAGACACATTGGACGATGTGGACACACCACCCACGAGTGTAATGATGATCACACAGTGGAAAATAAATTCTCATATTGGGCATATGCCTAAAAATAACTTAGCTAGAAAACTGAAAGATTTCCTACAAAGGTACTCCCTCCGTTCACAAATATAACATGTTCTACTTTTTTCTGGATCAGATGTATATAGACATGTTTTACTATGTTTGTTCACTCATTTTAGAGTAACGCGGTGCTATATGGCACAAGGATATGGCTAAGTAGAGTAATAAGAAATCGAAATATCATAATAGCAGTGTGCAGAGCATTAAGTTTCCCTGTCTATCTCAGGAGCAAAAGAACAGTTCCATATATAAATATATTTTAAAGCAACAGAAAAATAAAGCTGAAGCAGAAAAAACTTGGAGCAAAGCACTTCACCTGATTGCCTCACTATCTTGAGACATGCCTGTGTTCTGTATACACTGCCTCTTTGCAGAACGCATAAAATTACATACATCATCCGCCCAACCAGACGACCGAAGCTCAGAAGATGCTGATTCAGCAAGCCTGGAAATTTTAATTAATAAAACAGGCAGTAAGCATCATGAAATTACTACAGCTGACAACACAAATTAAAACCTAGACGTCAAAGATAATAAAGAAAAATAGTAAAATGGTGAAGCATGCAGTGCAGATATGCTAGCTTAGTGACTCTGGGATATCAGTCACTGAATTAGGTTCAGCTGGATGCGAATATTCAAAAGGTGTTACAGCCTTCATGCATGAATTCTTATATCTGAGGGATTATTCACGAAGTACCGATCCATGTCATCCTTGAATAATGTATGAATCTAGTCTATCCAAGCTTCATGCAACGTTAGATCCTTAAGTTGATACTTCCTATTGAAAACAGACATGCATGAACATACACCACTTGCACATTTGCAATGCAAATTTCAACGATGTTCAAACCATGATAACCTAATATTTGTTGTTTAATCTATCTTCATAGCTAGATGGGTGTGGACTCAGTTCAAAATAATCAAAGCTAAACCAGTAAACGATGGTGCGGGCTCAGTTCAAAATAATCAAAGCTAAAGCAGTAAACATGGAAGGTGTTCAATGTCTGAAAACTACAGGAGAATAAAGCAACTGAATGGACAGACAGTGTTTCATGGAAAGAAATACGAATAGGAAAAGCAATAATACTGTCAATTCAAGACTTACATTTCCTTAAACTTTCCTTCTTCAAGATGATGCTTCAAGCATGCACTGTCCTTGGCTGAAGCCACCACTGCTTTGACTGAGTCAGCAGATACTTCAGGGTGTAAAACTGAGCTTTTAGGACCCTTTTCTGAACTACAAATGCTCTTGTCCAATGTTGAGGTAACAACACTAGATGGCTGTTCAGGGGGGTTTTCAGCACACGTGGCCTTGGCACCACTGGTCTCTTGGAGGCCAACAAAATGAACTGGATGTCCATTTCCATCTGTGCCTTGCAACATTCTTTGTGAATCAGCGTCCAACTTATCGCAGGAAATACTACCATTAGCATACCCTTCACTGGGTTCTGCAGATTTTGCGGGTCCGCATCCGTTCGATTCCACTAGTGCTGTGGCTTCATTAACTTCTGGCTTTCTCAAAACGGGGTGCGGTTTGCCATTTGATGCAACCTTCTCTGTTCCTGTATTCTTCAAGTGGATCGGCTTGAACTGTAGACCTGGTGCAATCTTGCCATTCTTTAGGGGTAGTGGCACAATACCTTTAGTAGAGCATGAGCCGTTCTGCTTCACTAATGGTATCTTCAGGGGCTCACTACATGCGGCACTTGATATGCCATTCCCATTGGTGTTGGAAGATTTAACTGCACTAGAAGAGTAACCATTTGTACTATTTGTTTGAGTTTTGGAACTCAGTATATAGAATAGGATATAGACCTTCTCAGTCAAAACGTCCTGAGATCTTGAGAGGGAGACCTGAGAATCATTACAACAGTACCAGCGACCAGTAGCATCCTGCATGTAATTCAAGTTCCCAGTACATTTAGCAAAATGTTTTTGGCAGAAACATTTAGTAAGATGTTAGGGCAATAGAACTGAAGAAGTTTTAGACACTGACTGAATAGCCTATTACCTTAACATATGCATAGTAATGACCAGAATCTTGGGAGAAACCTGAATGGACGATGCTGCCAAAAAGATTATATACCGGTTGTGGGTCCTGCAGATCCATGCAATAAAATCAAAAAAAAGTTATTGTGAACAAATGTTCAGACAAAGGAGTGCACTAAAATATCCAAAATTATATTTGGAAATATGGAAAGTAATCAGGCGCTACTCGTTAATGTCAATAGTATAAAAAGTTTCTTGGAACAAAAAAACATTATTAAGATATGTTATTCACACCCACTCAGGTCTCACTACTGGCATCTTTGTTGGTGGATTTGTAGCTTCATGCAGTCAAAAAAAAAATCATGCATTATCGAGACCGGCAGACGAGCTATTACTGAAACATCAACTACAGAACGCATTCCATTCAGGTATAAATAACCATGTAAAGGTCATGCAAAGCACTAGTTAATGTCCTAATTTATTAGACACTAGATATTTTGTTGATAACCACAAAGCTTCCGTGAAGATCAACGGGTACAATGAGTTCATTAGAAGATTTTAATGTTACTGCATTAGAAGTTTAGAAGTGTTGAGAACATAATGTATGGTTTTAAAAACTGACAGCGACCCTCTCTGACATTCACCCAGAAACAATTTCCGAAGTCCGTTTGTATTTACCACTAAAGATTAAATAGAAGGGGGCACGCATAAATGGCGCCTTGAAGATTTTACAGGATACTTCAAACATTATTTACTGGGGTACACTTCTATAGCTCAGTCGCATGTAACTAGATAAAAACTCTTCTATGGTTTTCCTTTCTGAGCCATGAAGTTTAACTTGTATCCAAGATTCCAAATCTGATCTGCATAACTCCAACTACGTCTACACCAACAAAATCATAAAAAGTCAGGAAACAAGAACGTTATCTTGTGACCGCAAAGAAACAAATAGAAATATAGCTAATGCATACTAACAACAAATTAAGCTAGCACTTGGACACAGTTTATAAGATCATCATGCAAACACAGGTATGCTTTAGTTCAGATACATACAGTTCACAACCTTAAAGAGAATTACTTATTAATCAGTATATTCCTTTTTTTGTCTGGGACAGAATCAGCAGCCTGGTTTCACCGAAGCAGAGAAGAAGCGCATAAGTAAAATAGAAGATAAGAGCTGGGTAATATCAAAACAGTACAGAAAGTTACTTCCCTACAATTACTTGGCTCTATCGAGCATTCTGAGGAGATTCAGAAATTGCTAAAACGGTTATCAGAGCTCAAATTTGCTACGTGTAGTGATATACATCTGCCTTTTTACACATTCAGGTTAATTTAACAATAGAAGAAAAATGCCAGGATCTGAGCAATTGTTGCTTCAACAATTACACTAGCTCAGACAGAACTTTTAGAATGAAGCAACACATCTTTTAAGATGGGCTTGATTATTGTGAACTATGCTGTTTTCATCAATTTTCATATTGTTTATTTCAAAATCATTCACGTAAAACTAACGGTTCATGATTTTGAACTTTGGTCCAGTGAACCAGAGAGTCAATCTAACCCATAATTCCTAAAGGAGTTCCGAGCTAACTAGAAACTGATGGTACCCTGTAATAACATAATCATAACAAAGTTGCATGGTAAAACTATATCAGTCAACAAGGTAGCATGTGATCATGAGCAGCTGATTACATGCGGAGTATATTGCTTTCATGACTAGTTTTATATCCACAATATCGCCAACCTGGATAATGTTCAACAGTACTCTAAACCATGTGGCAATCAAAAGGTATCATACCTGGTTTTTGTCATACATGAAGTCGGAAAGAACAAGACCTTCCTTGAACTCTATGTTCCTATTGATCTTCCCACCATGTATTCCATCGAACCTCTAATAGCAGTTCACCAAAAATGGAAATAGAAACAGATCATGAGCAATCCCTTTTAGGCATAACCCAAGTTAAATAGAAGTTGTATGTTCTTTGCACAATAAAGAAATCAGGGAAGAAGATTTAGAACCTTGAGTTGTATAACAAGAACCTTAGGTGCCTTGAGTATGAACATTTGCTTCCGAGCTGAGGTGAGCTTCTTGCATCTGCAATACCAAAATCCACATTTCACAATTTAAATGCATGTTTGATAACAAAGGGAAAATATATAAGAATTCAAATGGATGCAACACCGAATTGGATATACAGAGGAAGAGGGGGCGATTAGGTCAACAATGACAATAGAACAAACAAAAGAAATTGTAATCTGTCCATGAAACATTTCTTATGTTTTAATATGTCAAGACTTTGCCCTCTCTCAGAAAACCCAAACTCGCTTTCCTCCCTGTTTATACTTGTATTCTCCAATTAGCCACCGAAGCACATGGATTGATGATGGTCATGGAAAAGGAAATTGACCATACATTTTTCCAGAGGGATTCTTGCAACCAAAATGGGTGAGTGGTGAAAATCCTTCCTGGCATGGAATCCTAATATTTCATCTGAAAATCTAGTGAACCGAACATACGTTTTCTCCAAAACATTTTTGCATTTCAATCTCACAGTAAATAGCAAAACCTAGTTGATTCGAATATACATATTTTCCAGTAACTGGGAAGACGTGTAATACCTTTCACAACTGTATTTGTTTGCACCCTCCAATACCTCAGGCTTGAAGAAGCATGTAAGGGCATCGCCAACAGAACTGGTCCCGAGCAGGTCGAGGCTGAGGTCCATGATCTCGTCGGTCTTGTTTGACTCTCCCTTGCACACAAGGCACTTCACCTGGCTGAGCAGTGCCCCGCCAAATGTCTCCCTCATCACCATACAGCTCCCCTGACCTCGGCCCTCCTCCGGGCCACAGTCGCCATTGGCAGTTGCCACGGGGAGGCGCTTGCGTATGCGGAGGCAGGCAGTGTGACAAGCGTCTATGACGTAGCGCAGGAACTCGTGGGCGTCCTCCTGGCGCCCCCACCGGAAGTGCTCGGCGAAGAGCGGCAGGCTGCGGAGGACCTTCCCAGGCGAGTCGAGCGCCCCTGCCTCCGCCCGAAGCTGCCGCACAATCTGCCGCTCGAGGACGCAGAAGGCGCACTCCTTGTCCCTGTTGGGAAACACTTTTTTGCCTATACAAAGCAAACGGACCGACATAAACATCAAATTAGCTTCTGACGACGACGAATTGCAACAGATGCAAATTAGAGCAGGGGAAAGCGGGGGCTAGGGTTTGGTACATAGATTGGAGTGGCGGGAGGCGAGACAGAAGCTGGCGAGCGGAGGCGTGGAGGCGAGGCACTGGAGGACGCTGTTGAGGTAGCAGGTGTTGCCGAGGTTCTTGAGCCCGGGGGGCGGGCCGGAGCGCGGGCGCCGCGGCGGCGCCGGGGACGCCGGCTCCGCGGTGGGGGCCATCACCGTCCTCCGCTCCGTAGGGCTGGTGCGGCGGCGCCGCGGGGAAGCTGGACCACCTCCTCCTCCTCCTCCTCTTCTCCACGTAGCACCGCCGCCGCCGCCGCCCACACCTCATCCGATCGCATCGCCCACCAGCGCGCGCCGCGGAGGAGTGGCCACCGTGGTGGTGGTGGTGGTGCTGGCGAGCTTTCGGGGGTCGGCGCGGCCGGCGAGCGGGGGCGGGGGCGGGAGCAAGGGCCGGGGCGCCCTCGAATCGAGGAGGGGGGCGACGGCGGCGGCGACGGGTGGAGGGTGAGAGAGACGTACGGACGGGGAGGGTGGGTTTCGTTTGTGTTCCCCTCGTGCGTGCTTCGAGGAAAGGGAAAGCCGCGGGTAGATGCGCTCGCGGCGAAGAGGTAGACCAGTCCGTCCCCGGTTTGGACAGGACTTCGCCTTTGGTGTCCGACCAGAACCGCCAGGAAATTCATAAAATTGACACTCTCTTTTCCTTCACTTACTTTTTTTCCCGACAAATCTATTCATCACACATCATGTCAATACAAAAAACATCTGAAATAATAAAAATTACATTCATATTTATAGACCACATAAGCGACAACTATAAGCACTGAAGTGAGTCTAAGGCGCGTCGTCGTCATTGCCCCTCGCTCATCGGAGCCGGGCAAACCTTGTTGTCGTAGATAGTCGGGAGTCGTGGTGCTAAGCCCTAAAGGACTAGCGCATCAAAATGGCAACCGCGCGGATGAAAAGAATCGAATATCAGAAGGACCCAATCTATAGACACAAGAACGAAGACGAATAAAGACTGGTTTCACGCAAATCCAACGAAGACAAACACCGACCGAACCCCGAGAGATTCATCGGAGACACTCCTCCACATGCCATCCAATGACACGAGACGCCCGCCAAAACGGAGGTTAGGCAGGGAGAACTTTATTCCATCTTCAGGGAGTTGTCGCCGTCTCACCTTCCTCAACAGACACAAACCCTAAGCGGATTAGGAATGAGCCTTTCCGTCGGCAAGGGCTGGGATTCACCGTGTAGACGAGGTAGATCGGCGACAACACCGATGGAAAGCACAGAAGTCCTAAATGATTGGGAGCCTTTTTTTCTTGCACTTACTTACTCACGAGCACGCATTTCTTTTTTTTTTCTTTTGCATCGGCGAGTCGTCCGATTTCACCTGTTACATATCTCTCTCTTCTTAACAAACTTTGTGTCGATCTTCTCTAGCAATTTATATATTCTATTGTTTTTTCTCTTTCTATAATTGACTATGTAAGTATTTTTATTGCAATTTACCATATAAAACATATAGATTTTTATAGACTAGTTTCAGTATAGTCCGTGGACATGAACGCTTCAAATCAACTGTTTTTATGTGTCAATTCTTCACACTTCAAAAATAGACAAAGTTCATTATAAAGTTCAAGGGTGATCAAGTTATTACAATATTTGACCACAATTCGATCATAAAAAAGTATGCTTGGAAATTAAGATGACCAACCACATTGCAAAGTTCACAACTAATGGGATGAAGAGAGCATAATCAATTTTGTAGCAAATTCATCTATCACTTTAAGCCATCAATTGGTTTTATCATGTTTATGCTTTTTACAAAATCTATCATCCATATAAGGCATGTCTTCACAAAGTTTATGCACTCCACAAAAATTGACATGCTTATAAGAAACATTTTTATCACGACTAGTGCAATCATCATTAGTATTGTGGATGTTCATAGAAAGCATACTAACAACATTACAATCATGCTTATCATTCAAGGATTTTATACCAAATATTTTATTGAATTCTTCTTCTAACACTTTGCACAATTTTTTTGATCCATCATTCTCAATAAACACATTATAAAGATAAATAACTTGATGCAACTTTAATTTTATTTTTTACAGTTTTATTTTATAAAACTAAACTAATGATAAAAAGAAACAAAAAATATTCAATTACAAGATCTAAAGATATACCTTCAAGCATTCACCTCCCGGTAACGGCGCCAGAAAAAAGCTTGATGTCTACTACGCAATTTTACTTCTTGTAGACTTTGTTGGACCTTCAAGCGTAGAGTTTTTGTAGGATAGTAGCAAATTTCCCTCAAGTGAATGACCTTAGATTTATCAATCCGTGTGAGGTGTATGACGAGGATGGTCTCTCTCAAACAACTCTGCAATAAAATACTGTTGGAAATATGCCCTAGAGGCAATAATAAAATGGTTATTATTATATTTCCTTGTTCATGATAATTATCTATTGTTCATACTATAATTGTATTAACCGGAGACCATAATACATATGTGGATACGTAGACCACAACATGTCCCTAGTGGGCCTATATTTGACTAGCTCGTTGATCAATAGATGGTTATGGTTTCCTGACCATGGACATTGGATGTCGTTGATAACGGGATCACATCATTAGAAGAATGATGTGATGGACAAGACCCAAACCTAAGCATAGCACAAGATCGTGTAGTTCGTTCGCTAGAGCTTTTCTAATGTCAAGTATCATTTCCTTAGACCATGAGATTGTGCAACTCCCAGATACCGTAGAAATGCTTTGGGTGTATCAAACATCACAACGTAACTGGGTGACTATAAATGTGCACTATAGGTATCTCCGAAAGTGTCTGTTGGGTTGGCACGAATCGATACTGGGATTTGTCACTCCGTATGACAGAGAGGTGTCTCTGCGCCCACTCGGTAATGCATCATCATAATGAGCTCAATGTGACTAAGGAGTTAGCCACGGGATCATGCATTACAGAACGAGTAAAGAGACTTGCCAGTAACGAGATTGAACAAGGTATTGGGATACCGATGATCGAATCTCGGGCAAGTAACATACCGATGGACAAAGGGAATTGCATACGGGATTGATTGAATCCCCGACATCGTGGTTCATCCGATGAGATTATCGTGGAACATGTGGGAACCAATATGGGTATCCAGATCCCGCTATTGGTTATTGGCCGGAGAGGTGTCTCGGTCATGTCTACATGGTTCCCGAACCCATAGGGTCTACAGGTTCGGTGACACTAGAGTTGTTATGGGAAATAGTATGTGGTTACCGAATGTTGTCCGGAGTCCCGGATGAGATCCCGGACGTCACGAGGAGTTCCGGAATGGTCCGGAGGTGAAGAATTATATATGGGAAGTCCAGTTTCAGTTGCCGAAACAATTCCGGGGGTTATCGGTATCGTACCGAGACCACCGGAAGGTGTCCGGGGGTCCACCGGGTGGGGCCACCTGCCCCGGTGGGCCAAATGGGCTGAACAAGGGGGGACAAACCCCTAGTGGGCTGGTGCGCCCCCTAGGGGCCCAAGGCGCCTAGGGTTGCAAACCCTAGGGGGTGGGGGCGGCCCCCCACCCAACTTGGGGGGCAAGTCCCCCTTGCCCCCCCTAGATGAGATCTAAGGGGGCGGCCCCCTTCCCCTTCACCCTACAAATAGAGGGGAGGTGGGAGGGCATCAACACCCTTTCCAAGGCGCAGCCCTCCTCCTCTCCAACACCCCCTCCTCCTCCGTAGAGCTTGGCGAAGCCCTGCCGGAGAACTCCAAGCTCCTCCACCACGTCGTCGTGCTGCCGGAGCTCTTCCCCAACTTCTCCTCCCCCCTTGCTGGATCAATAAGGATGAGACGTCCCCGTGCTGTACATGTGTTGAACACGGAGGCGTCGTCCGTTCGGCGTTAGATTGGATCTTCCGCGATTTGAATCGCCGCGAGTATGACCCCATCATCCGCGTTCCTTGTAACGCTTCCGCTTAGCACTCTTCAAGGGTATGAAGATGCTCTCCCTCTCACTCGTTGCTAGCATCTCCTAGATTGATCTTGGTGACTCGTAGGAAATTTTTTGATTTACTACTACGTCCCCCAACAGTGGCATCATGAGCTAGGTCTATGTGTAGATTCTATGCACGAGTAGAACACAAGTAGTTGTGGGCGTTGATTTGTTCAATTTGCTTACTGTTACTAGTCTTATCTTGGTTCGGCGGCATTGTGGGATGAAGCGGCCCGGACTGACCTTACATGTTGGACCCGAAGGTCTGAGGTAAACTACTCACACATCATCGGAGAGGCTATGGTGTTGATGTAGAAGCTCTCCATGATCGATGCCCCCTCCGGCGGAGCTCCGGAAAAGGCCCCAAGATGGGATCTCACGGGTACAGAAGGTTGCGGCGGTTGAATTAGGTTTTTGGCTCCATATCTGGTAGTTTGGGGGTACATAGGTATATATAGGAGGAAGAAGTACGTCGGTGGAGCAACGTGGGGCCCACAAGGGTGGAGGGCGCGCCTAGGGGGTAGGCGCGCCCCCCTACCTTGTGCCTTCCTGGTTGATGCCTTGACGTAGGGTCCAAGTCCTCTGGATCACGTTCGTTCCGAAAATCACGTTCCCGAAGGTTTCATTCCGTTTGGACTCCATTTGATATTCTTTTTCTGCAAAACTCTGAAATAGGCAAAAATAGTAATTCTAGGCTGGGCCTCCAGTTAATAGGTTAGTCCCAAAAATAATATAAAAGTGTATAATAAAGCCCATTAATGTCCAAAACAGAATATACTATAGCATGGAACAATAAAAAATTATAGATACATTGGAGACGTATCAAACCGCATATTATAATGAGTTGTTAAATCATTGCATCATATCTCTAAATTAAATTGAAAACACAAAATTAAAGGAAAAATAAAAAATAAAACCAAAACCCCCCAAACCTTTAGTACCGGTTGGTGTTACCAACTGGTACTAAAGGTCTCCCCACCCCCCGCCTAGGCTCGTGCCACGTGGTGGCACTTTAGTGGCGGTTTGTGCTGAAGGCCCTTATGAACCAGTGCTAAAGCCCGGTTCTGCACTAGTGTCAATTTCATTAGTGCCAGTTTCAACAATACCACTATGAATTACTACATTTGGTTGCTGCATCTTGTAGTTAACACACCTTTCCATTTTTATTTAACAATAATCAATGTACTTAGACCGGCACAATACATGTTTGAATGACTATGTTTGCTTTTTGTTAAATGTTAGGCCTGTTGCAGTTAGCACACCTTTTCACTTGTTTTGCTTTACTAGCGTGCTTAAACCTGCACACTGAAGCTGTATTTTGGAGATTATT